AAGTAAAGCCATGCAGTTATGTTGAGCTGTAGGGGACTCAGGTCAACAATTTCTGACATTGCCAGTCAAGCAGAAGACCTAATACTACTATGGGCTAGTGGAACTTTTTAGAATATTTTGCTGAGTTTCCATACCTATAATATTCAAATAACAGAACTTAACAAAAACGGGTATACAGATGTATGTCCATTTTGTATGTGTGTATTCAAAGAGCTTAGGATACATATATAGTTACATTCTCTTAATGAATAGAGTGATTTGTTCTAATGGTGTTTGTAAATAGGATATCATGTCCGCATCTTGTACAGCAATTAACCACTGGGAAGAATGTACGCAATGTGTTAATTATTGAAACTGTCCTAGCAATTTGATTTGAAACTCTCTCATTGCTATTTGTTTATCAATAAAATTATGGAAAAAAATAAAAATAAAAGACAAAAAAATTACATAGGTTCATGAGTTTAGAAAATGGTTAAGAACACTAAAAGTGTTTTTAGAAGTGTGAGAAAGGTTTACAAGAGTGTGGGAAGGATTAATAAAGCCTTTAAAAATACATAAATACTAAAATAAAATAAAAATAAAGTCAAAGAAATATTTAATGGTTAAATATTCAATGCATCTTCTTTGAAATCAAGAACATACAACAAAAGCAACTATCATCATTACATACACTACAGAGGGTAGTGTTGTGCTATATGGAAGAAATGAATGTATCAAGATATATAATTAGTACACTTATATATAAATGTTAAACAGTTCACAGAGTCTCTGTTAGAAAACAAAAGAATAGGACAAAGTTGATGGTTAACTAGAAATATAACTTCTACATTATCCAGCCTTTCTACCACTGTGGATACATCCAAAGGAGAGAAAACCATTATATCAAACAAACATCTGCACTGCTACCTTTACTGAAGCATGATTTATAATGGCCAGAATATAGAATCAATGAAGGCAATCATGGGCTGCAGTATAAAGAAAGAAAATTTGGTTTATATGCATTATTAAAATTATTAATAAAAAAGTTATATTTCTTGTTATATAGGTCTTGCTTTATCCAGGACTTAAGCATCCAGCAGGAAAGTTTAAAGGTGAGCTATAAAAAGTAAAACCATATTAATATACTGAGCTGTAAAAAGCTCAAGTCAACAACTTCTGACATTTCCAGTCTTATGGATAAACCACTACTATTACAGACTTCTGGACTGTATTGGAATGTTTTGCTGAATTCACACAGCTACAATATTTAAATGGCTATGGAATACCCTTCTATGACAAAACTAAACAAAAAAGGGGGATATAAATGAAGGACCATTTTCTATTTATATATTCAAAATAGTTAGGATAGATATACAGCTACTTTCTCTTAATTCAATGAGAAGAAAGATTTGTACTAATAGTTTTTGGACAGGATGTCTGCATCTTGCACTACGAAGACAACAATATGCAATGTATTCATTATTGAAACTGTCCTACAAAAAAAAAAAAAAAAAGAAAGAAACTATCCTACAAATTGGTTTTGAAACTATCTCATTGCTATTTGTTTCTCAATAAAATTATTTTTTTAAAAAAGGGGGGCCATCCAAATAGCTCAGCGGTTTAAAGAAACTGCAAGCAGGCTCAGGGGCAGGAGGTTGGGTCCTCAGGCTTGCCCTTCTGGCCCCTCCCCCACGGTGCCCTGAGATGGCGATTGAGGCTGGGCTTTTTGGCGAGCACCTGTAATCCCAGCAATTGGGATGCTGTAAACAGGAGAATCACTGCAAGTCCGATTTACCAGTGTGACCCTGAACACCCTTTAGACCCTCCTCTAAAATATAGAAAAAAGAAAAAGAAAAGAAATGTATACCAATGCTACATGTCAACCATAGAGTATTTTGAGTTGCAACTTGGAAAGATTATCTCTGTATTAAGAAGAAATCAAAAGTAGTCAGTTTTATGAATCTTCTTATGTCAAACCTATTAATCTGTACTGACAGATTTTCCAACTTTTAAGACTCAGAAAAAGGTGTTGGTGGTGAAATCAGGATGTGACCTGTTTTGATTCAACATCAAGGAGAAACACTTTTAGATATATAAAGGGCATGACTTCTAAATCATGCTTTCTGCCCAGTACTAGCCCAGGTCCGGTGAGTGTGTGGAGAGCTTCCTGCTACCCTGCGCCAGCGGGACCAGTCCCAG